AAATTATAAAATAATATTTTATTTTATTTATTATGATATCTTTATATACGTGTGAATAAAAATATTGTTTTTACTTTTTTATATGAAGAAGAGAAAAAAATAAAATGACCTTTGATTTATTAAGTTAATGGATTATTTTTTAACGATGTTACTCATGAATGAAGACAAATTAAATACCACAAGAATCAAATCCATAATAAACATATCATAAGGACCCCAGTGAAAAAAACATCAAAATACAAGGACCAAATCCGAAATTCACTCAATAATTAATAAAAGGTATAAAAAAATACAATTTCCATACTAAACATCATTATTATATGAAATTACAATAACATAATAAGAAACCCATTTCTTCAAAATTGAGTAAAAGTCAAAATCATTAAATAAATCCAATTTTTTTTTAAGTTTTCAACTTTCACATTAATTACGTCATTAAAAATATTAATTCAAATTTTTAAGCAAACATTAAACCATTTTCTATTGGCGGGAATCATTTAAATATATATTTTTCTCCAAATTCTACGAATTTGGAGATTTTAATATTTTATTAAAAAATTAAAAAATAAAAATAATAAAAATCTCTAAAAAATCTCTCTATATATACTCTATAATTTAGAGAATTTGTTACAGATATACTCTCTACCATTCCTCCCATAAATCCACCCTTCAAATCCTTCAATCACCATAACAATGGCGAACCATCTTCTTCTAGCCATCATCATCTTCATCTTCTTCAAGGAAGCCACAGCCGCCGCCAGTTATAATGTGAAGAAATTTGGAGCCAAGCCAGACGGAAGAACAGACTCGTCCAAGCCATTTATGAGTGCATGGTCAGCTGTCTGTGGCTCGACCAAGCCAGCCACCATTTATGTCCCCAAGGGAAGGTATATGCTTGGTGGGTTACGTTTCAGAGGGCCATGCAAGAATCGAGCCATCACCATTCGAATCGATGGCACCCTTGTGGCTCCATCCGATTACCGAGTCTTGGGCAATGCCAACTACTGGCTTCTTTTTAGCCGAGTCGAAGGGGTTACGATTCAGGGTGGCACTCTTGATGCTCAGGGTGCTCGTTTGTGGGCTTGCAAGTCGGCTAACTCCAAGAATTGCCCTGAAGGAGCCACGGTATGTATTAATCTAATCCCTTTGTTAATTAATTGATTTTAATTTAATTTTCTCATAATTAATGGGGTTTAATTACTCCAAGAATTAAATTAAAAACAGTAATTACGATTAAAATCAATTAATTACTCCAAGAATTGCTAAAAACTTCTTATTACCGGTTTGATACCGATATAAATTTTTTATTTAAACACATAAAAATGTTTATTACCGATAATGCACCGGAATAAGTGAATAAATTGTTTTTTATAAGCAATACCAAAATCCCTCTTAAAAGTTGTCTAAAATAAATATTTTTGTAAATAAACCTTTAATTTATTTACTTAAATTTTGAATCTTGCACGTGATGAATTATGCAGAGTTTGGCCATTTACAACTCGAATAAAGTGGTGGTGAATGGGTTAACCTCACTGAACAGCCAGATGTTCCACATGGTTGTCAACGGTTGCAACAACGTCAGAATGATCGGGGTGAACGTGGTGGCACCCTGGAACAGCCCGAACACCGACGGCATCCACGTCCAGTACTCCACCGGAGTTACCATTTTGAACTCCAAACTCACCACCGGCGATGACTGTGTCTCCATCGGCCCCGGTTCCTCCAATCTTTGGATCGAAAACGTCGCTTGTGGACCCGGCCACGGCATCAGGTATTAACTGAAACCACCACGAGCCTGTTTACCGAATGCTAACTGGGTGAACGTTTCCCCGGTCACTAATCTTATTTGGTAATCAGCTCGAGACCCGCTTACCAGATAAGAAACCTTATCTGGTAAGGTAAGTGAGGGTGGTAACTCTTGTCAGTCAGACGCTTAATTAATCGAATGTGTTTATACATGTACAGCATTGGAAGCTTAGGGAAGGACTTAAAAGAAGCCGGGGTGCAAAACGTGACGGTTAAAAGGGTTACTTTTAAGGGGACACAAAATGGGTTGAGAATAAAGTCATGGGCGAGGCCGAGCAGCGGGTTCGTTAATGGCGTTCTGTTCCAGAACGCCATCATGACCAACGTCCAGAACCCAATTGTCATTGACCAAAACTACTGCCCCGGTCGTATCAACTGTCCCCGTCAGGTTCGTTTTACCATTATCTTTGCATCTATCCGTTAAGAAATTTAGACATATTTGACGTTTTACGAACCTGATTTTGTTGTATTAATTAAGTTTGGGTTCAAAAACTGAAAATATACGATTGGTCGATCGTTGCAGCATTCGGGGGTGAAAATAAGCAACGTAAAGTATCAAGACATACACGGAACATCGGCTACGAAAGTGGCGGTGAAGTTCGATTGCAGCAAAATGAATCCGTGTCGGGGAATCACGATGCAAGATGTGAACTTGAGCTTCAAGAACCAGTTAAGTGCTGCATCGTCGTATTGTATGAATGCCGGAGGAAAAGCTTCCGGCGTGGTTAATCCGACGAGTTGTCTGTAGAGCTTAGTTAAGGGAAGTGAAGTGAGTCAGTTGACTGAGCCCGTGGCCGGGAAATTGTAATTGAATCGCCTGGCTTTGCATCGTGACTTTATTTATATATAGGATTTATTCTTAAAAGTTTTGACTTCTTTTTAGTTGTACCAGAAGGCTACTCGTACAATGTAATGAAATACATTTTGATTTTAATATTTTAATTTTTTTATCTCAGTCGATGTTATAATGGTGTTTTATGTGGTTTTGAGAAAGTAATATTGTTTTTATTTTTGAATAAAATATAAATATGAAGATATCATAAAACATTGACTTTAGTATCAAACTAACTATTTAAATTTTTTTTCCTTTTTTTGTGTATTTATTTAATTTATTTTTGTTTAATAATATAACTTTTTATAAAGATAATAATCAAATATTTTGTTAGAAGTTAATAATTATCCTAATTATATTTTAGATATTTTATATTTAAAATGAGATGTTTATTTTTTATTTGATTGTGTTTATCTGCAGTTAGTTATATGAATTCAAACATGAAGTTTTAATAAATTATACTTATGCACAGTTTACTTGTAATCTTGACTTTTAAGTAATATGCATCAATAAATAGTACTTCATGTATAAAAAATGGTTTTTAAAAGTTTTTGTCAAATGCTTTATAATATACTAGAAGGGTACTCATGCAATGCATCGAGACACATCTTGATTTCAGTGTTTTGTTTTATTCTTTTTTATGTCGATATAATACGGTTTTATGTGGTTTTAAGAAAAACGATAATGTTTTTATTTTTGAATAAAATATAAATATAAAAATACTATAAGTTTTTGAAAAAAAATATATCGATATCAGTATCAAATTAATATTTTTAAAAGTTCTTGTGTTTTGGTGTAATTTCCTTAATTCAAAGTTTCTATTTATAATTTAATTTAGGTTTAATAATATAATTTTCATAAAGATAATAATTAAGTATTCTTTTAAAATTTAATGATTATCCTAATTATATTTTAGATTTTTTATATTTAAAATGACATGTTTATCATGTATTTGATTATGTTTATCTACAGTTAGTTAGAAGAATTTAAAGATAAAGCTTTAATAAGTTGTATTTAAACACAATTTACTTGTAATATTGAATTTTAAGTAATATGGATCAATAAACGGTACTTCATGCATAAAAAATGATTTTTAAGAGTTTTTATCAAATACTTTATAATATAGTATAGATACTTGTATGTATGTTGATTGACGCATTTACCCTTCCTAAATCTACCTTTATAAAATATGTTTTATTAAGAGGTTTTCACGGGTTTTCTTACCAAGTAAGCAACAACCTTAAGAGTATTATTTGATTGGTTAAATGACTTAAATCGGTTTTGAATTATTTGGTGTTTCGTTTTTTCTCAAACTAACTGATAACCAAAACTAAATAACGGAATAAGGTTTAGGGTATTCGATCGTGTAACTAAATAAACCGAATACGGGTTTTTTCTTGTTCGAAGCTTGATTCCATCAATTTATCTAAGGTGGGTTGCTTTTAAAATATAATTGTATCTAATTCGACAACCGAAGCAACATCAAATACGGGGTTGTTGACAAATATAACCATTTTAAAAAACTAAAATTAAAAAAATAACTCTAAGAGTCAGCCGACAAGGAGGGTGCCCCCTTACGCATTTAGCACCAGCCGGTGTGTAAGGCTCAGTCGGCGGCGGCTAGGTGTCATATCATTCAAATCAAAGTCAAAAATCAATTTTTTTTACATTTAGGTCCCTGTAGGCATCAATTAGTGTTTAATGCTAAATGGAGGGTTAAAATTGTAAACAATAAAATTTAGGATTATTTTTTGTAATTTTAGTTTTTAAAATGATTATTTTTGTGAATAACCCATCAAATAGGTCGTAGTTCAAGTAAAAACCATTGTCGGGTAAAAAACATTATCTAGCAATAACATATATAAGATAATAGAGTTGGATTCATGTGAGACCTGTAAAACCAATTTATGTATATTGATTAACTTTATACACTAATGATCTAATGGTCTAAAGTTGTATAGTGACAATTTTGTGATTATTGAGAAGTCTCGTAGCAATTTTGTGATTATGAATGTTCATATTGTTATATCTAATCCAATGATTGAGAATTGACACTACTAAAAAACCAGGTATCAGCGACGACTATCAGCGAGGGAATTTTTCCCTCGCAGATCAGCGAGGGAAATGACAAAAAACACATTCCCTCGCTGATCTCTCGCTGATCTGCGAGGGAAAAATTCCCTCGCTGATCCCTCGCTGATCGAAATTCCAAAAAACTCATTCCCTCGCTGATCCCTCGCTGATCTGCGAGGGATCAGCGAGGGAAATCTCAAAAATCAGAATCCCTCGCTGATCCCTCGCAAATCAGCGAGGGATCAGCGAGGGAATGTGAATTTTTTT